GCTAGTCGGTGCCAATCTGACTAGCTTTAGATACGACGTCTGAAGCAGCTACATTTTGGTGCTCGCCAACCATCTGGACGGTTGACACAACGCGTGTTGCCACAAGTTGGTCTCCAGTGTAAGCGATCAAATCTGCGTTGATGGAGACAGGAAGCGTCGGCATTAGCAGACCAGTCTTGAGGAGAGTATCTGGGAGCATCGAGGACGAAGGCAGTACATTTCTCAGCCGGGTATCAAAAGATCCGTCTATCGTACATAAGCTGCGCGGCCTTGACGGCGGCGGCTGCTTTTGACACAGGTAAAAAGCACCTTTTCGTTGGGGGCCAGCGCTGCGGAATGCTCGGTATTCAGGTCCGTGCAAAGCTGTTGGTACCATCGGTTGCGGACATCACAATGCATACCGCATGGATAGTCAGTTGCTGGCATATGGTGGCTTAACTTGCCACAACCTACCATAGCCTCAGAATACAAGCCACCTAGAAGAACAGCCTCGGTGCACTGCGAGACCGACATGGTGGAAAGCGGAGTGGAATTATAAGGTAAACCATGGTTAAACGACATCGCTAAAAAGATAAAAACTGTGGGCGATACGGGAATAAAACTGGGAACAACCGAACGAAGTTTAGTTATGTATCAACGACAGTTCAATTTCCGTTAGGACCGGAACGATTGGATAATCCCGTGAACGTTCCTTCTTTTGTGTATCGCCACATCGGGAATTGATAGGTCTGTTTGTTATGTTGAAACGCCTAAAAGCGAGACCGCATCACACCCTGTCCAACCAATTACTGCCCAAAGTTGCATGCCCAGCAGTCCCTGCCAAACTGCTTTAGGTGAAGTAAAAGGGTGAAGGATAAGCTAAGAAAACAAGAGGAGGAATGTCAGCTGAATAATGATAATACCAAGGTGTGGGAAGAAAGTAACATATACGTATGGAAGGTGAAGCTACAAGTCGGTTAGGAGAATAGACAGGTATGGTACTGCCACCCAAGTGCATCTAACTGACGATCCAGAGCCTCAACCAATGACAACCTAACGACGTGCTCCGGAGGCCACTTCCAACGTTCAATAACTTGGTGCGACAAATGAGTTTCCCTTCTTACGCTATCAGGATGCAGGTTGTGCGCCTTTCACGCGTGACATCGGAGACTGGGCGGATTAGCGAGACTAAATAGCTCGGACAAGGCTGGACCAAGCTTACCCGTTAAGATATGGTAAGTGAGGATCAAGGCTCCTCTAGTTCTGAGGTAGTGCATTGACTACATACCCAAGCTAAGCAAAAGTTCGGAATACCTTTGCCCCCGTACTCGTTGCACTAACCCAATACCCACTCGCAAAACCCACTTCAGTTCTACTTTGTCCCTTACAAGACTAGGTGGACAAGCCTGGATGCAGTATTATTAGTGAGTTCGCACAAAAGCTGAGAACAGCTGAGGACAACGAAAGGAGGCGAATAAACCACATCTCACCGAACCTTCTACAAGCAGCCTTCCTTCAATTGTCCCCAGAGTGAAGCAAATGATGTGTGGATGGCACCTGGATCAACCTGATGAGTGACAACAGGGATTTCACTTCCACCAACTACATAGCGCGTGGGGGACTAGCACCTCCAAAGCGGAGGACAGAATATTTCGCCTGGTTTATAGTCATCAACCATAAGGTTGACCAATCCCACAGCCTATCCAAGGCACTATGCATTGCCTCAGAGCCACCAGGGATATCCACAACATACCAGAGCTTGAGGGCATCAGCAAACCATAGCGGCGGTACTTCAAGCTCCTGGGGTAGGTCAGCGACATAAATTACGAAAGGCAACGGCCCTAGGACAAAGCCCTGTGGAAGGCCGCTAAAGACCGCTTGTTTAAAAAAATAATACGCCTCAGACCTACACACTGTTCTTTCCCATCTGGGAATGCATAGACCCAGGTATCCCAGGCGATCTCGACTTCATTGAGAGTCGTTGATGTGTGACAGTATCCAAGGATTACAAGAAGTCAATGATAAGCATGTCGAGAGCGTGACCGTTTTCTACTGCTTCAGCCCAGCTTTTACCGGTTACAAGTAACTTTATCAGACACAAAACCCCTGACGGAATCTGTGCTGTGCCGCCCTGAGAAGGTTAAACTTAAGCAGCTGATTCTCCACCGAATCCCTGACCGATTTTCAAACAACATATCTACTACGGTTGTCAAGCTGACAGGCCGGTAGTTCGCGGGCAGCGCTCTGTCACCGCCCTTACAAATCGGACAGATGCTTGCCTTCTTCCATTCTGTAGGTAAGGCACAGCTGTCGGGCGATATTGGTAACATACATGTCAGCGGGCCACTTAGCTCAGCAGCCAATTCATGCATCATCTTCGGATGAATTGAATCAGGGCCAGAAGATTTGGAAGGATTTAGTACTTGCAATAGCCCGAATACTTGCTTCTTCATTATGCTGATTTCAGTTAGGCAAGAATCCTTTGTGGCTTTTGTGACCAGCTCAACCTGAGGTAGCGAGGCCTCGTGAGAAAAGACACTAATATACTGTTCGCTATATATACAAGCATTAGCGTAGTCGGTGTGCCCATGGGTCCCGTCCGCGCGTAGTAAAGCCGCTATAGACGAGTTTGTGCTGCTGCGTCTCTTTACGTAAGCAAGAAATGTCTTTGGACTTGTTGCAGCTGCGTCAGGCAAATCATCGTATTGAAGGCGAGAAGTCCTAAGATGTTGATTACCTTTATTTCTAACCGCTCGATAGCTTCCCTAAGTGTTGGTTGCTGAAGTCACTTGGTAAGTTCGCAAACACTTAGAGCGCTTCCTAAACAGGATTTTACCTGTATACTCTACCCATGGATTCTGCACCCTTGTCTCCCATTTCTTAATGTGTGGATGTGGGGAGGAGACATCTCGGTGAGGTATGTCTTCAATTTTTTTTCTCCCAGGTTGAATCAACTCTGTCAGCCACGGAGATCGCACAACACAGAAATGAAGCTTTGTCTCGCGTGGCGTTAGAGTCTGCCCGCCAAATATTTTGATATGCCTCAGCGGTGGTCTGATGACATTTAGTGAGAGCACATCGAAAAGATATGCAGACATGGCCACTGGCTCTTAGAGGACAGCCGTATGCAATAGTACTTAGGAAATCATGTGACTTCGCAAAAATGAGATCCAAGGTAGACGGAAGATGGTTGCTGATGCATCTAGTCGGGATGTCCACGAACTGATGCAAAGGCAGTTGCAATGTTAACTCGAAGAGATCCAAACCGAATATGGCCACCGTCATACTGCAAGGTAGATCAGCCCATCAGACTTCAGGGAGCCCGAATGCACCCAGTATTAGAGACATATTGGCAGTCTGAGTACGAGTAAACTCAAATAATTTGGAGATACTTCCAAGACTTTGCTATACCACTACAACAGTAAAACGAGCAGAGGAAGTACCACAATAGTCGACAGGGCTTCAACCGTTTGATCCAGCGACTGAAAAACACGGGTCCTCCAAACATCAAGTTTACTACAGACATAAAGAGCGACGCCTCCACCTTCGCGGCTGACGGAGCGCTTACATCTAAGCAGTGCGCAGCCAAGCAAACATTCTTCACCGTCTGGGATATCCGGGGCCAGCCACGTTTCGGTGATAGATCTGTCTACAACTAAATAAGTGAGTATTTTATTCTCGACAAGGCGAGGCAAGCCTTTTGGGCATGAATAACATATTGCAATTTTGTACATCATAGCATGATTAGCAGCACCAAGAACGGGAGTAGTACAGCCGGGGTCAGTAGTGTGGACCCATATGGCCCAAAGGTTTTGCAAAGTCTGTGTCCACAGCATGCGAGATGTAGAGATAAGAATCTGATCACTAATGTGAAGGGTGTTGATGTGGAATTAGTCCGAGGAGGTTGTGTACCCAGTGCGGGTCGGGTGAGTGAAGCATGAGAAAAAGCTGCAAAAATATTTAAGAATATTGACATGAGACTGATCAAATATGTAGGCGTATTTGTGCGCGAGTAGATATAGGCACAGAAATTGTGAAGGTGGTATCAGTCAACTTGCCAATGTGTGATTGAGGCGGTGTCGTTATTGTGTGGCGAGTCACATCCGCCACCTCGCAGTGTGGTTAAACGAACATTTGTGGTTTTTTGTAGGAAAAATGCTTGCCAGGCGAAAACCCACCACATCCTGGAACATCGCCAACTGCTGATATGATATTGAAAATATTGCATCTGACCGATTACCCTCGCGGATATTCGTAGTCATATTTCGCCAATTTGTTTCACATGGTTGTGTAGTATCCTTCGGAGTCGACCACAAGTGGTTGGAGCTGTTGAAGTCGTACGACTCAGGTGACTTCCATTGATTTGCTTACATTTATGGGTTCTTTTGGTGTGTCAGGATTGCCAAGTGCGGGCGATTTTTTGTTCTGTGTTAGTTCCATCTCCAGGGGAGCGACGCAGGTACGTCCTCAAAGGTGTTTCGTGCAAGTACTGTTATCCCATAGAACACTGGACAGAAGAAAACGGACCGAGCAAACTTCCAAGGAAATTGAGCAGGACTATATTAATGTATAAAAATAAAAGTTATAGTAACACTGTGGTGGTTAAAAGCAATGGAATGACTGGATACGTTACACATTATGTTCGCATTTTTGCGTACAAGCACGAGACGCGGTATTTGTCGAAGGTGAGAGACAAATGCTGTCCGAAGTGATCTAGCGTACGCAAACGGTGTCCTACGTGGAAACCGGTGTATCAAGCGTTGTTAACGGGTAAATGAGTTGTGGGACTCATAAAAACATAGTAAGTGATTTAATGTGCGCTTAAGGTATAGGTATAGCGATCGGTTGACAGTGGTAGAGCTTGTCGTTCGAACATGTATGAGAGCCAGTGGAGTCACTACGCAAGGTTTGAGACCCATGAAAATATTGACGTAACATGTTCAGTAATCGGTCGTTAGAGAAGACGCTAGAGTGGAAGCACCACGTGTACCCTGTTCCTTAGGCTACGCACATCACTAAGCGCTACCCGAAGGAACTCGGCATGACCAGCCCTGGGTCGTACGCCACCAGGAGGGGTACTGGTAGAACGGAATTTGACTTGCGGCTGACCAACTAAAAACCCACAAGACAAAGGCCTTGCTCACCAGTTGCCGCCTGCTCTTGCGGCTTTTGAGGGCTTCCTTTAACTTCAGTCGATCTGCCAGTGGGAGGTCCGGCTGAACGCTGACGTTACTACCCTTGAGTGCGAAGGCAAAGCGCATTAAGGCTTTGCGTTCCTCCGGGGTTGAGGGAACTATACGATGTAGTCGAAGTTGCGGAGTTGGCCTATCTACAGGGACGTACCCCGATCTGGTTAGCTTCCTGATGGTGACACCGGGGAAAGCAGGTGGGAACATCTTGTTGACGCAGAGCTTGAACCCCTGGAGATTATGCAGCATGCGTGCTTTGGGAGGAGCTGCCGCGGATTCAGCAACGTTACGAAAGATAACGCTACTATCAGTAAAAGAATCACTTCGAAGAGACGTATTCCCTCCACGAGTATTCGACTCGACCGCAGTTTGGATCGAATCCTCAAACAATTTGTTGATGCGCTGGCCACCGCAGAGGATAAAGAACGGTGCCCTATCTGCTGCATCGAGCAGGGTGGATAGGGATTTGATGCTACCGCTTAAGCCTTCCCGTCTCCTTATTCTCCTTCTCGCGCTTTTTCACCCTTACTGTCCAGTTCCAACTTTACTTTTATCCCCCTGTTTTCAACCCCCAATTCTCGGCTCTTCCCTACCTTGCTTCAGTATCCGCTTGTCCTTTAGTTTCAACTAACAGATGAACGCGGAACGTCATTCCTACACTGTCAACAGGCCCAGATCCAAGCAAGCGGCTCATTCCATTTCCTCGGCTTCCACTTGGAGCCATCGATCCTCCTTCAGATTGGCATGAATCAACGTTCGCATATTGCTTCACATCGGTCAACAGGCAGCACTTGCCCGAACATTGGAGACCCTCTCGATCAATATCTGCTGCTTATCGGAGACCCGCCTGCAAGACTCGAGCTCTGTACTCACTCTGCGATCCCCTTCAAGCGACACTAGCAGCACCTTCTCATTGCGCCCATCCGGTAACGATGCAGCACCGGTCAAGCCGGTGTTGGTATTGCCCTGAGTCCCCAGGCTGAGGCTGCTCTGGTTGATTGGATTCCAATCAGTAGTGTGCGGTCCGATTGGCTGGCTCGTTCAAAACTTCGAAGTCGCGTGGGACTAACAGGTTTCTATTCGTCATCGCTGCCTATGCACCGACAAACTGTAGCGATGACTAGGTAAAAGACAACTTCTATCATCAACTGAATGAGCATCTCAGCCACGGAAGAAGCTCGGACACTGTAGTGCTGGCCGGGGATCTGAACGCTCAAGTTGGAAAATTATCCACAGATGAGCTGCATCTGGGCGGCTAACATGGTATAGGCTTCCGTAATGATAACTGTGAGTGGTTACTTCCTTTGTGTGAGGATGCACGTTTATTTCTTGCGAGCACTAATTTCCGGCACAGCACCCGCCGGCGATTAACTTGGCGCCCACCAACCTCGAACCAGCTATGGACGCAAATCGATCACATTGCCATAAGTTATCGACGGTGAGGCTGCATCCAGAACTGTTGCTCGAGTTGAAGCACAGGTGTGGACACTGACCATGCACTTATGTGTGCTGACCTGCGGATGCGCTTTGGCGGACGGCCACGAAGATTTTGTGGGCGCATTGACACCGGCCAACTGACGAAGCCAGCTGTTCTGAATGCGTATCAAAGTACGCTGTCATGCGAGTTTGGATAAACGCTCACTGGATGCAATTGTAGCTCACTGGTCTCATATTCACCAGACATTATTAACAGCAGGAAAATCCTCATGTGGTATGTCTAATCGCCAACATGGACATTGGGTCTTTTTGCAGTCTTTGGAACTTATAGATGCTCGCCGGCAAATTCCGGATGGAAGCGAACACAATGAAACTCGCAAAGAGCTCCGGGCAAAAATTCGTGCTAGCCTGAAGGGAGACCGCGAATCCTGGTGATCTTATCGTGCATCAGATATGGATATGGCCGCTGCCCTTGGTCACCATCGCATGCTATTCCGTCTGATACAGGAAACTAGCGGCAGGAGATCTGATGTTAGTGAAACTATACGTGACGAGAGTAGACAGCCTATCCACAACGTATCAAAACGCTTAGAGCGTTGGGCTGAGCACTTTAAAAGGCAATTTAATCGGCCGGAATGGTTAGATTTCTCGCCTGTCACTGATCGCCCCGCTCCTTGGCTGTCAATTTAGATCCATCTTTACGCTCAGAAGTCGAATGTGAGATCAAACTGTTGAGGGTAAACATAGCCGCGAGATCTGGTGACCCTCCCCCAGCCCACTTCAAAATTCGGGGACCTGCTCTTGTGGATGATTTACACGAGTTACTTGTGAAACTGTGGGAGCAGGGAACTGTCCCAACCGATTGAAGCCGCTCCGTCATAGTCCCAATTTTCAAAGGAGGCTCACGATCGGAATGCGACAGCCATAGAGGAATCAGACTGAGCTCTATTGCCACCAAATTGCTTGCCTCTGTCATCCTTCACAGACTGACTGGCACTCGTGAAAGCCAGATTCGTGAAGAGCAAGCTGGATTTCATCGAGGTCGTAGCTGCATTGACCACATTTTTACATTTCGTCAGTAGTTGGAGCACCGTCACACATACTTGCGACCCACCGTAGTCTTGTTCCTCGATATCAAAGGTGCATTCGACTCAGTGGATAGACATGCACTTTGGGACTGTCTACTCAGAAGTGGTGTACCTGAGAAATATGTGAATATTATCCGAGCATTAAATGCGCGCAGTTCGGGCAGAGTGAGGGCTTACAGCAAGTTGTCGCCGTCCTTTAATATCTCCAGCGGCGTAAGACAAGGATGCTTGCTATCACCATTCTTCTTCAGCTTCGCTATGGACGAAGTCATGCAGATCGCGTTCACAGGACACAACTTAGAATGTGTGGAACTACTTCCAGGAGAATGACTTCTTGACTTAGAGTATGCTGATGATATTGCCTTTATCTGTGACAGCTCACAAACGTGCTAAGCGGCACTGGGCAGATTAGCACTAGCTGCCCGTCACTTCCGGCATTGCTTCGCACCCTCGAGGTGCAAAGCGTTTCTCCAAGATTGGTCTGGACCGCCTCCTACGTTGACCCTTGGTGGGGATCAGCTAGAAGTCGTTCAAAATTCAACTACCTGGGAAGTTGTATCAGCGCCCGTGGGATTGAAGATGAGATCACGAATTGTATAGCAAAAGCTCGGGGCGCTTATGCTAAGCATCGCCACTTATGGCGCCGGCGCGACATCACTCTTGTTCTGAGTGGTAGAGTGTACCATGCAGCGGTACGTTCGATCCTACTGTACGGTTGTGCAACATGGCCGCTTAAAGCAGCGGACCTAAAGAGGCTAGTTACGTTCGACCACCGGTGCCTTCGTAATTTAGCTCACATTTAGTGGGAAAACCGCGTGAGTAACGAGCGTGTTCGACGCCTTGTTTTTGGCACAGGAAAAGGAAATGAACCGCTCAGCACCGTTATTTCACGCACCAGGATCCGATGGCTCGGCCACGTGTTACGCATGCCAGCACACCGACTTCCGCGACGTGTGTTAGTTGCGAGCCGGAGGTGTGGATGGAAGCAGCTGATGGGTGGCCAAGCGATGACTTGGTCGAGAGAAGTGAAGGCCGTCACTTCTGAGCTAGCCTTGCTTGGAGCGTTTTGGCTCCCTGGTTGGGGTCCGAAAGACGGTGAACACGTTTGGTTGGACACACTTGCTGATATGGCTAGGAGCCGACCTCAGTGGCGTTCGCGCTGTGAGTTTCTTTGTCCCACCCCGTCCCTCTTAACCTCCTCCTCCAACCACGATCTCGTTATTTAGCCTTATATAATTTTGCATAGTAATTATTTTGGTGCACAGCAGCTGGCTAGTAGCTTACCGGAACGATGCCCATCCGTTACCGGTAGCTCAGCCAGCTTGCAGCAGTTGCTTTTTTCTCTCGTTTTTTCTACGTATTGCGGCACAGTAGCTGGGGTGTGCCCACCTCCAGCTAACATGTGTTATGATGATGATGATAGTTTCGACCGGTTTGGCAGGTGAAACGGCGCGTATCTTCGTTAAGGGAGCAGGAGTAATTGAGGTTGAGACCTTATGTTCCAACACCAACTCCCTCACTGGTTTAGTCTTTTCAGTCTTTGTGCGTGTGGCCGAAGTCGACACTGCGCCTTTCTTCGTCCATAGAACTGGATGGGGTTTAGAACTTTGTGGTCCACCGCCGATACATTTATGATTTCAGTACCATCAAGCTTTGTGAGAGCCCTACGGATTTCTATGCTCTCGTCCTCTTGCTTTTATTGGGCACAGAGATTAGGAGTTCGGTTTCGCTTTGGACGGCTTCCATTATGACAGCAGAAGCCACTTTAGGGGCATGCTGGACCGCTGGGGCACATGACACGGTAGCCATCACCCCAGTCGGATTTTCAGCGACAGCCATTTAGTTGAGCATCTTTCTCCCATGAGCCGACACCAATAGAGACCCATTTTGCTCATCAGAAAAGCCAATTTACGATCTAGGGATGTGTGGAAAGATCACAACTGCTGGTAGTCCGGCCCGAGGTTTCTCGGTGTTCACTCAGTGCCCTCAATATGGGTATATTGACGGCGACGGCATAGAACACAAATGAACAGCGTGCCAGCGCTTGTCGAAAGCATTGCGTACCGATCAGGGCTCAAAGCGGTACAGGTCGCTTAGCATCAGCAGTCGCAAACATAGCACTGCATGTCACCAGACTCTACCGTCACGGCATTAGAGCAGCTCACGTTGTCGCACGCAGCATTAGATTCGTCGCTCAACTCAGCCGAAGACACATCAGCGCCGGCATTCAGTAAATCCGACATGACTCTTTCAAAGAGTGTGAAACAAGTATCAAAATCTAAAACCGACAAGCATTTAGCCGCAGGGTAGTCAACAAAAACAGTTACGGGTTAAGACTAGGTGCAAAAATGACGACAAAACACAAAAATAACAAGAACTAGCCAGCGGCTAAACCCGAGAAAGATGGACGTGGTTTGATAAGCACCGGGAACCGGGTAGATGTAATCCGGGTAAACGACGATCCAAAATTCTTTGACTCAAGCGAAATTGGGCACCAGTCAAATTTTTTGCACTACACTTGTAAACATTGGTCCAAAACTGTCCTTTAAAAGTAACAACTCGAAACGACAGCACGCGGACCAGTGTTCTAAACAATATGTTTTGGGCATAAAGTAGTGAGCTTGGTATGGTACGCTGTGCTACATGTTTGCTGTGTCACTTATTCAAGTTTAATTGCAAGTGGGACTGGAATAGTAGGAAGGCATATATTTAAGCGGTACATGA